CGCAGCGAGGACATCCAGACGCCGCTCACAAAGACCCACTGCCAAACTCCCCGGCTCCTTCACACCCCGGCAAAGTGAGCCGACCCTACGTGTCAGCTTTCAAGAACTGCTCAACATCATCTCCTATTGACTGTCTTTTATATTAATCAGCAAATCACAAACTGTTTCCCTAGATTATTAGCTCAGAAGTGCCATATAAGCAAATTGTACCATAACCCAGAGAAATGGCATTAAGAGTTAAGTGTGATAATACACATAAGTGGATATTCCACATATAAAAGCATACAGAATCTGTATAATAGTCATTAAGCATCACAGGATTAAAACATTTACATAGATTTATACATAGATATCCTGGATTGAACACCTAAATACAACTTTTCTGCCCTAGCAATGAAACATGTTGGAATACCTGCATTTAATTACTGAAACACTGTAAAGTGCAAAACTCAGGTATTAACATTAGAAAATACAGCCTACTTTCTGATTTTGTGTGCCTAAACATTAATTTTAAGGCAAAACTATCAATTTTGAACCAGTCATGAAAAAAAGGATGAGAATCATGGTTTCGTTCCATTAGTAAGGATGTGCATTGAAGTTAAATTTGTATCTTTGTTTATTTTAGGATGCTGCAGTTGGCAGCTGTTATCTGCAATATTTTTTCAGTTGACTAATTATGAACCAGAAATAAATTCAAAGCTGAAATACTATAATAAGGCAAATAATTCTGACTGATCTTCATACTGTAAGCGTAGTAAAATATAAACTCCATAATGGGAACATCCAATCCCATGCATACAGATATTTAAGACTGTTGACGACTGTAGAGGAAGTGTCAAAAAGAGGTCAGTTTAAATTTAATGTTGGCAGAAATGATTGTCTGCAAAAGCATGAATAATCTTCTAATGATGCTTTAAAGCTTTAGCTCTGTCTTAACACTTACTGTTTATTTAGTCCTGAGAAAATACTTAAAAACCATGAAGCAATTTTAAGAAAACTTTCGTAAACAGCTATTTTCTCTTGACAGACTATTTGGCTACAATTACAGATATTATGCCAAGATAATATATGTAATTCAATGAATCCAGACAATATTGAATCAAATCAACCAGTATTATTTTCCTTCCCTTTGAAACTGAACATTCAAGCCATCTGAACTTTCAATGTCATTTGGCACTTCAGAAAAAAACTTTATAAAATACAACCAGGCCTGAAAACCTATACTTCATTTCTGAGTAATCTCCTGACCTTTTATAGAAGGATCTCACAAACTGGATTTTCAAGAGCCTTCTGTAAACCACAAATGTTTTCAATTAACATTGTTAAAGTCTTATTTAAATTCCTGCACATTACAGTCCTTTTCAAAGTCACACATTTTGTAAAAGGAGATGAGTTACCTTAACCCAAGTTCTGCCAAAAATTACTCCATACATAACATCTATTCAAAATTTTAGGCCTAAAAGAAAGGATTAAACATGATTTTAGGAGATGGTTAAAGAGAGGTATATGATGAGTTAAAAAAAGTGACCGATCCTCATTTTGGTGCCTAGACTTCTTTTTCTGTTGCTCATTTACATGTTCTGACTCTGTCTTTCAAAAAATGCTTGCCTTTGTTCCCCAAAGAAATACAGCATTAATCAGGATTCCAACCTGCTTAGGCAAGACAACTGATATACTTGATCAAGTGAAGAGAATTAGAAAGAAGCAAATCACCTATTTTATTTCTCTTAGCTTTCCATCAATAGTCACCCAACCAGACATCTCTTGCTTAAAAACCAGCAACAACTGCAGTCCTTATTCTCCTGAGTATATTATTAATTATACATCTAAAGCATGTTCATAGTCTGTGCTTGCTCTTGGGGGATTCCATGGTTTCTATGAATGAGAAAACAGTAATATGATCATTTACAGGTAAAATAACATTTTCACTGTTTTGGCACCTGAGCATAATGAAAAGGAAAAACGTTCAGCTTTTACCTGGGTTTCTGTTTAGAAGAGTCAGCTCAGCGGGGAAGAGCTACCACTCATGAAGAGCCAGAATGGGGAATGAAAGGTACGACTCAAAAGCCAAGGAGATGTATGGCCTAAACAATTTTTATTGCAGGTTAAATTGATCTTTTTTTTTCAGCTCACATAATCTCAGCAGTGACTTAGAAACCACCACGGCAGCATTTATGGGCAAAAGAGATCAAATAGTTGAAAGAATGACCATATAAGAGCGAGAAGGCAGCCAGAGGAATTTGAGTGTTGGTCATCAATAACAAAAATCCATTCATATGGTTCAGAAATTTTTGCCACCTATGGAAAGCAAAGGTAACTGCTCAGATAATACTGTCAGGATGCAGACAGTGCTTCCTCTAGGAAGAAACTCCTTTGCAGAGATACTGGCAACATTTTACTGAAGGTTATTTTTGCCTGATTCTTCATTTCCTATTCAGAAAGGTTGCTAATTGTTATTTTTATATAGTAACAGGTAATTCTTTCATGCTACAGCTTGTGATGCATATTAATCAGGGGTCTTGCCAAATTTTGGTTAGTTTCTTCAACATTTGAAAAGCAGTTAAACTTCTAATGACATTTTCACCCTCTTTTCATCAACTTATTCTTGGAGCAAAATAATGTACTCGGGCCTGAAGAAAAGACACTTGAGCTTCAGGAATGGAAAACAGCCACAGGCCAAAATGTATTCACTAGAGAGCTCTAGGGCAATAGGGTTGTCATCTATGCACAAAAATATTTTCAAAGACGTAAACATGATGTTTAAATCTCTACCACTCCCTCCTGCATGTTAAAGTCACACACATTGCTTTGTGCTTGCAGTTATGAGCAGTATAAAAGGAAATAAGTCTATTTTTATGATTATTACTATGGTTGTAGCATTAAGACAGTTCAGAAACAGGGACTCAGGTTTACACTGTATCCTTGACAACCCTGGTTTTCCTTATTACTGCTAGTATCAGAAATCAGAATTGTAAAAAAGGCATTCTAATAGTTTAAATAATAACTCAAGCCAGAGCTGCACAATACCACTAGGTACCAACTGGGCCATCAGCATCTGAATATCAACCTGAACATCTATATTGTACAGATGAAAAGATAAAGACATTTATTTTGAAGTCCAGCAACTACAGTTAGGTTGTACACAAAAATAAAACTTTTCAACACAAATGGTCCACATTTGGCACACTTGCAAACAATTGAAAATCAATGATTAAATTAATAAGTGATAACCAAGTACTTTAAAATACTACTTGAATTACCTTTTCACACATAATTTACTACATAATAGCATACAGTTGTAATATATATAGTTTACAATGCTTATCAAGGTACAAAATACCTAGTAAATTCAATGTTAAAGGGACATTAATATTTCACACAATATTTGCCTGCCTTAAATAAAAAGAGGATTTAAAAGCACTTGAAAGGCTGGACAAAAAAATTATCTGGGAATGTTTTTGGTTTTTCTCCAGCTTTCTACTGCATAAAATCAGTTAATCAGCCTCAACTATTTTCCTTTTTATAATCCAACAGCCTAATTTGTAAAGATCTTTCATAGAGCAATGGAAGAGAAAAGCATTTTTATAAAATTAGAAAATTACTGTATAACCACAAAGCTTGTTTCTGCAGCAAATGCAGAATCTTTTTTTTTCAGTTGTTAATATTTCGAGTGGAAAACATTTCTTTAACTGAAAATCTATTCCAGGCTTGAAATATTTTTATGCAGTAGGCTAACTTATTGATGTGAAAATTTAAGTAAAACACGCTTTTGAAATTGTGTACGTGGTAAATTTTTTTACTACAGCAAATTGAGTAATAAACATTCAAGACAGATGAAAATCTAAGATGTCTGGCTCTGAATGTCCAATACAAACAGGGTCAAATAGATAACCCAGCAGTACAGCTGGGGTTGTCCACCTTGACAAAATACCAAAGTGTTTTCAGCAATTTTAGGATATCTGTTTAGTAGGAAGCAGGTAAAATGCAAGCCAGGGTTGCTTCTAGAATCCAAGCAAGGATTCCAGCAAGCAAAAAAACCTACCAGCAGGCCCTTATTCTTTTTAATAATCTCAAACTTCTTCCCTTGGCAGTCAAAATAACCAGCATGTGTTAAAGATCTAGAATCGCTTTCCCCTGAAGAACTAGCCTATAAAAAAGTCACTTCATATCTACTGGACATGTTTATTTTCCTCAACCATATATCCTGCAAATATTCACTCATCTGTACTTGAGCCACTGCCACATCAGTACCATTTAAAGGTTACATCCTTATGTCCTCAAACCTCATCAAAATGCTCATTCCCAAAACCCACAGATATCTCAATCTAACGAGCAATCACATCTTTATACTCAGTTCTCCCGATAACAGGGCCTCAACCTCAACCCTCAGATTAAGAGAGGATGGAAGATCACTTCTAGGTAAAAAGCAAGTATCACATGCTCTCTTACCCACCACCCTGCCAAGCAGCACAACTTCTATTTTAGAGAACTTCTCCAAGTCACCATCACCCAAAAATGCTGACAGCACTGGGCGGCCAACTTGCTGCATTTACATGCTGCTTGTCCTTTTAACATAACAATTTGTTTTCTCAGCTCCAGGACTTAAAATCAGAAGTTTTTTCAGAGAGGGCAGTGACATAATTGTCTGTGTGTTCAGCATCAACCACCCGCTAGGGGTTGAGGACAATACAGGCAATAAGGCTAAACTTCCTTAGGATCTTTTCCACTAGTTTTCTGAGGTAATACCACTAAACAAGCTACAATATTAAGAAAAAAAAAAACAGGTTGTTTTCTTTCACTGCATACTCCTGATGATATTAGTGTCTGTTATCAACTCTCTCAAATCTCTCCATGTTACAATCATTTAAAGCAGGGTTGCAAACAAGGGTTTTCTTTGTGATCACTTTTCCTGGAATTACTTCAATCAGTTTTGTGAACATCAGCTTCAACAGCTTGGGTGAGATTTGCTTTCTTAAACAAAGAAAAGAGAGCAGGGTTACCTTCCCTTAGACGCTCAACCACAAAAGTGAATCCAGTTGTTCGCGGGTGTAAGACATACTCGTATTTTTGAAATCCGTTCTTTTCAGCGAATTCGTTACTGCGGGCTTTGGTATTGGCTGAGGAGAGAATAAAAAGCACCATTTTCTGTTAGTGTGCATGTAGACCACGAAATAAATTTAATGATCATACGACAGGAATGGTTCAACAGCAGTTCACACAGTACAAATGTACAACAGCGTTTCGGGTGGGAGGCAGACAGCAAGTGTACTTTCAGTTGGTCATACCATGGTATGAGGAAGAGCCACGTGGATTGCAAGAAAAGCCTTTTTACCCATTCATTTATCTTTGAAGATAATCAGCAAATCTCATATCTATCAAATGCAACCTGAAATCTATAAATTAAAGTCTGTTAATAGTTCTTTGTACACTTCAATATCCATTTTACAGTAAAATGCTTCAACTGGCTCAATTGCATTTCAGGGGTTTTTTAACTCAAAAGGCACGATGTATAGTAATGAAGGTTTACTACTATGTACAGAAATACCTTAAGATCAGTGTTTAACCACATTAAACTTATTTCAGAAAGAAAACATTAAATAGAGAAAAGCAGTTAATCTAATACATTAAAATTGTATTTTACATCTTCATTCTGAATTCGCCACGTTTTATTCATCAACCTGCTCTGCACATACATACACTGCTTTTTAATTTTTTAATCAAGTGACTCAGTGTCACAACACGTGCCTGCTACTCTAGGTAGAGTACACACAAGGCATCTGAAAAGCAGAATGGCTAAACCCCGTGACAAACGTGCTTCAAACCTCTGGTAAGAAGGAACCTCTTGCGAGAAAGCCAAACAAAGGCTTTCCAGAGCTGGTTGCTAACGGAGCCCACTAAACAAGGAAGACGGGGACACCAAAGCAAAAACTTCTTAAGATAGGCAGAGAGGAAGCAATTTTTTTCCCATGATGTGCAGAAGGCTCTTCCAACCAGCCTCAGTCAGGAGCCAAATGGACTTTGCTGGCTACATTTAGTCCTTTACTGTGGGTACTGCTGTGCCTCCCCTGGAGCCAATGGGTAATGAACACATGCAGTGTTCCCTTGGCAACATGGTAAAAAATAATTTGATCAACTAGCTTATTTAATAACTCATTTACAAAGTTTTGCAGGTGTTTTAAAAGACAAAATCCCACCAACAGATCTATGGAACAAAATAACTGTTTAAGCAATATATCATGTTTTTCAAGCAGAAAAAGGTCTTTTTAAAGTGTTCATAGTTAACTTTAACAGAGATGACAGATAAAGTAATGAAAAACATGTTGCTTTTTAATAATCTAACAGAAGTGATAGAGATAAATCCTTTCCCTTACAATCCTCATAATTTTTTCCTGTAAAGGCACAGCAGTGTAAGTGAGCAAATCAACAGTAGTGAGAAATTTCCTTTTTGCTGTAATGCAACATTCCTGCATCCTTTTTTTCCCCCTAAATTACACAAGCTCTATTCATAAGGAATGCGGATGCCCCCCCAAAGATTATCTACCAATTAATAAATGCTATATTAGTGTACCGAGTATTTTTTCCCTATGACCTACTGTTTCCAAGCATTAGGGTGCTGCTTTTCATATATACAACCCTTAAGATTTAGTGCACAGATTTCCTGACCATGTGATTTCGAGGAAAGCTGTTGCGCAGTAGCCAAGCAAGTGATTCAGCAAAGAGAATCCAAATATTTAATTCTTGCCAAATTGCCAAAACGTACAAATACTTGAAAAATATTACAACTTCAAAAAGCATTGCTAAAATTACAGAATGTGTGAAACACTAAAATTACACTTGGCTACGTAACTTATCTTCCCCTGGACATATACATTATGTCTTTCACCACGTGGTCAGAGGATCTATTTTTGTCTCCTCGACTACTACTCCATTCAACACTGCAAATGGACCATTCTGAATCAGTGAAGGGGACTTGACTCCCACTGCAATGGCAAAACTTGCAAAGTGAGCAATGAGAAAGACTTGGAATGGCAGAAGAGGCAACAGTAATCTGGTAATTATTAAATGCTTCTCTAAAAAGCCAGGTTTTACCTCTTAGGTATACTTGTATTAGCTCAACAACTAAAACTCTTTATTTTTTAAGAAATTACACTGATGACCAAGAGTGTTGCTATAAAAAAAATCCAAATCAAGAGTTCTTTTCCAGATTCTGTAGTGATTCAAGTAAAATGTTTTAGTTTAATTTATCACAAAGTTCTTAAGCTAATGTATTGTTGTTTCCAAAGCACAAAAGTATAATCTTCATTTTCTGCATATCCAAATTGGGGTTTCACTGTGGAAAACTTACAGTCTGCAAATCAAGTCAATCAGAGCTTTGAGACACAAGTGTCATATAAATCTACATAAAGTCAAGCAGTTCTTAAGCATCTCAAACTGCACACAGTTAATGAGCACTCAGAAAAACTATCTCCTTATGTCTGCTCACTAGCACTTTGCTTCAGAGGGAGCATGAAAATGAATTCCTTGGTGTTTGTAAAACACTCCTACTTGAACCACAGGAAAGCCAAGGAGTGAATGGGCACACTCGTTCTCTGAGTAAGACCTAAGTGATACTGCAAAACAAGATTTGGGACCTCCAGTGACCATTGCCTTGAAACAATCATCTTCAAACCTCCTCTTAGTGCACCTCCCTGTACTTGGAAAGAACTCACTGTAAACATCTGCAAAACATCTTCCAATTTTCCCTTTACTACACTGCCGTTCTAAAAACGTGTGAACAGCTGGACATCAGCACACTGGCCAACACTATTCAGCTATTTCCTGACATTTGTATCCCTGTCTTGCCTCTGGACTGTAAGTTTTATATAACAGAGACTGTTCCCTTCCCCTTTTGCATTACCCTAGTGTAATGGGATTTTAGAACTAGAGTAACGCTCCCAGCTAACACAACGATCAGTGTCATCTGGAAAAATCATCTCCCTCTTCCCTTCCTAACAACTATCAAGCCACAGGTCTTTGTGCATTAAACATGATTATTTATTACAGCAAGTCAGGAAGGTCAATGGGTTTTGATGCCATACTGAAAGCAAGAGTATGATATGCCTTCACTCTACAAAAAACCTAAGAATAATGCCCTTCCCCCCTCTCCCGTTAGTCTCAGCATTTGAAAAAACCCAGTTTCTTACTCTACTATTACTTATGAACAAATGCTCTGACTGCCATCATGTCAGTCGATGTAAGCACCTTTGTGCCCACTGCTGTTTGGGATCCTTGTGAGAGATACCAGCACCCAAAGCCCTGGGGGGAAATCGAGAGCAAGTCAGCTGCTCAGAAATGGATGCAACAAAAGGCACAGAACATGCAATGCTCCTCATTATACGAAATCCAGAAGTTAGAAAACTGATCCAGGAAATTAGAAACCCATTTTTACATCCTCTGCAACTTGAGGGAATTCACACAACAAACACCTCTTTAAAATCCTTTAATCAATGGACCAGGCTACACTGTCAGCGCTGCCAAACTTAAGGCAGATCCCTCATTGTTCTGCTGGCCAGATTATAACATTCACAGATGAAAGAATAAAAAAAAAACTTAAATATGCCTAAAAATTTCCTTAAAAAGAGGAAACGTGTTCTCTTCTTTTCTCCCAACCTACTAAAACAAATAGCATCAAGAAGCTCTTGAGACAGGGCTTGGAAATTAACTTGGTTTGGGTCTCCTCAATGCCAAAGGGTCACTCACATCGTCTGGCTACAGGTAATGCCCCCTATTGCTTACTCTCTCTGAAAAATATGAGTAACTGTTGCTTTCTAGAAACAGGTTATTTTCTTTCTTTCACTGTATTTAAGTCAAAGCAAACGTACTCCCAGAATTTTTGCTCCTCATTCCTATTAGGAGCATTTTGCATTTTAACTCCTTGGTTCTATTTGCTGATAAAAAAAGAATAAGGAGAATAAGTTATTTTTATGGAAAGCAGCCAGTTTATCAATAGAGGGTGATGTGGGACACTTACAGAACTGCTTCATGGTCTGTCTAATCAGGCCTTGCACTGACTTGCCTCTTCTCCCCCACCTCCTTCAGCTAATACCTGCAGCATACATACCCTCAGAGCATACATTCATTAGGGTGGTGGTGACAAGTACAAGTAGTCCAATTTATTTGAGTATTTAGACATTTCTGCGGAGTGACTGTCAAACAACACAAAAGTACAAGATTTTAAGGATTCTGGCCAAAACGTCTTACTTTTTATTGCTCCTGTGTTGCCTCTGGTAATTAATTTGATTACATTTTTTTTTTCTCATTTATCTCCAAATCATGTGGGCAAATCCCATTTATCACATTTTAAAATTACTGAAAAAGCTCAGAAAGTCAGCGCTTTCTTGAAGCACCACACTTCAGAATTTCATTTCAAGTAACTGGAGGAAGAAATGATGCTAACACATTTTCTTTATTTTTGAGTTACAGATTTTAAGAAGTTAAATTGCTTTTTGCTCCTGAAAACTAGTGGAAAAAGTGAACAAATTTAATTTTTTTGAAGTCAAATTACATTTTTAGTTTGTGAGCTAATTTTGAATTAAAACAAAAATCTCTAGGATTTTACTTTGATGAAAGCCATAATGCAGTAACAGCTGCATTCATCTGAGTCTGAAGAGTATTTGGAACTAAAACTCCAAGATGTATACCCAATGAAAAGCTAAGTGTTTGCTCCCTATGAAATATGTATGCAGTATTAGCTCCTCTCAAACAAACAAGCTCACATACTTCTACAGTGTCAACACCATCCAGGCTGATGTACCCAAAAGAAAGAATTGTAAACTTCCCTCATCATCCTACTGGAAAGCCACTTTGGACAACTTTAATACAAGTACTTCTGAACAACTCTCAACTACTACTTTTTTCTTTTCTGCTAGTACTAGTGCACTGAAATTTGACTATTAACTACTGCCTTTTCCTTTAATTCCACTTGGGATAAAAGAAAAATGATAAAATTATGCATGTACATGATAAAAGCATGCATGTACTTCTATGACTTCAAATTATATCAGTGCCAGACAGTGAAAGAATAAATGAGCACTCCCAAAGTCTATCTTATTAAATAAATAAATAAACCCCACATTTATCTATTAGAGGTTTGCATAGAAGTGAGACAAACTACACTGGCTCACAATTTTAAGAAAAAATTAAGTAATTGTCCTTACTTGGGTTATTTTGAAACTATCATGTTAAATCAACCCCTACTAGTGCTTTTGAACACTATTCTTTGTACTACAAATTTACTAGAAAAGTTAAAAATCCAACTGCAGTTATTGTTACCTTCTGTCATCCACAAGACAACATTCCTGCCAAAACTTCAGCTCTAGTTAGCTTTCCTACATGTTTTTCAGTTGTTCCTCAAGGAAAAAAGGTCTGTGCAATCACACTCTGTCCACCTGTTTGCTCCCTTTAACTTTTGAAGCTATTGCCACCTGCAAACAAAGTTTATCAGGGACAAGAGATTCAAAGATGATTAAGCTCAGCAGAAGTTTTAGAAAAAAACAGTGGCTGAGTGAAGGGGAAGCTTCTGAGAGTAGAGATCCTAATAACGGGAAAAGCCAGGGAAGGCTCCATGGGTATTCAATCTGTCAGGGCTTTCAGCACAGCATGCAGCAGCCCATCGGGTAACACGAGTACAGCACGCGACGCCTCTTGCCAAGACAGTGGAAAGAGCTTTGTGGAGGAAATGTCACACAGAAGGAAACACAAGGAAAAAGGAGAAGCTGGAGTGAAAAAGAGACCATGAACAAGGATGCAGACACAAATCCATAGGAAATGAGGCTTTACCAGGCACAGAGCAATACAGCAACTTTTTTTTTTCTGACATTGCTTTCTGAAGAATTACTACAAACAGTTTTATAAGGAACACCAAGAAATACAAAAGAATAGGCAATATGGTGAGTCGTATTCCAGCTTTCCAGAAGCAGGAGACTTATGGTTGCTTTGTTTTCTTTAGGGCTTCAGAAAGTCTGGCTATATGTTTATCTGCTGAGAGCTTCTTATGAAGCAATTACAATAAAATACCTTTGATGCACTTAGCTTTAACCTTCAAGTACTCCAGAGTGAAAAGATGGCCAACCTATCAGAAATAAGTATATAATTATATAATTCTTGCCTCAGACTCTATTCATCCAGTCTGCAAATACAATGATCAGGGTTCATGACTTTACTATTTCTAAAACTTATTCATGTAGCATCTTCCACCGCAAAGTACTTCACCAACATGAAGTCAGCCTTTGGCCCATGCATAAATACAGTCATACTTTACATTTCTCTGAAATCTTTCATTCTTGAATACCTGAAAATATTATTCAATTTCTTATAAAGAGGAGTAAATCTATCATTGCCATGCGGCCACTGAGAGGATAAAAAAATGACAGCAGCACAGAGCTGCACAGCAATTCTGCTATTCAGTGAAGTGCATGTAGAATGTTATTTTTCATTTTAAGCACCAGAAAAATTCTGTTTTCAGAAGTAATTAGCAGTTTTGGAATTTGGTCAGAAAACAAAAGTCATTGCCTCTATTTCTGCAAAACGTTCCCTAGAATTTTGAGCAACTGTTCAGAACAAAACCACAGTTTATTTCTTATTCTAATGGATGGAACACGAGGTTGCAATAGGTCCTAATAGGTCAATAATGTAAGTTTTCTGGAAATCACTTTTTCAAAATGTTACATAAAATAGATTATTATGTTCTAGCATTCTCATATGGCATGCTTGGTCAGGATTAGCTTGTCAAGGGACTTTTCTCCGTCTCTTATAATAGTTTTAAATATATGAGGTAATGCTTCCTGTGAAGACAATTAGATAGGGAGAGCTATTTATTTCCACAGAAAAAATCCCAGGGTTTTGCCTGTCTCTAGACATCTTTTTATGCACAAATATAATATCAAGGTGGCATTCAGTACTTGATGGCAAGTTACAACTGCTAAAAGCAGGACAGTTTAATGTGTCAGAAGCCAGCACAGCAGTGCCCTGTTGTCTCCTCTATCCATCACTCCATCCTTCCCACTGCACTGCTTCCTCCCTGGGCTGCCCAACCACCCATCAGCACAAGTGGCTGCCTCAGTCCTCAGCTAAATCTTCTTTTTTAAAGCTGCAGTACGAAACTTCCTCAGTTCTTTAGAAATCTGTTGTCTCTGGGGAATATTGGGAGAGATTAGAAGGAATTCCAACTGGAATAGAATAAACAATCCAATTCTTTCAGTCATCTTGAGGTGGAAGCACCTATTCAGAAAGAGAGTGTGAGCACTCTAAGGAGTCTTCTGATTCCATGAATAAGATAAAGATTGCACCTTGTAATTTAGAGCTAGGAGGAGACAGTTCTTCATTAATTCAATTATAAAAGGTTAGATAATTTTATAGAATCCTAGAAAGGTCTGAGTTGGAAGGGACCTTAAAGACCACCCAGTTCCAACTCCCCTGCCATGGGAAGGGACACTTTCCACTAGACCACGTTGCTCAAAGCCCAGTTCAGCCTGGCCTCGAATCCTTCCAGGCATGGGACATGCACAACTTCTCTGGAAAACCTGTTCCAGTGCCTCATCACTCTGCTAGTGAAGAAAATTCCATCCTTTTTTCTAACTTTAGATACAAAATAACCAAATCAACAAAAGTTATGTGAAGCAGTCCAAGAATGTTCAATGAATTTACCCTCTTTCACGAAGGCTGATCAAGTGATGACAATTCCCTACAGTGTGATAGCACCTGGATACTATACATATCAATTTTAAGGATATTTGGAATACAGAAGAAAAAATAGCAGAATATGTTACTTATTTTTATACGATATCTAGTACTTACTGATGTGGCTTTGCCATAAAATATGATTTGAGAATATCTGCAATGCAAAGTATAGCAAAAATCTTCTAAATGAGCTTAAAGTTAGAAGCTTAATTGTAATTGATTTTCTATTTAAAGATAATGCTTATCATATCATGCTGCAGGCATGAACCACCAAAGAACATTCATACAGTGTTTTCTTTAAATGGCACTTGAGTCATCTTCACTGGTTAAGAGCTTGCTACTGATGCCACAAGATACCTGTATAAAGCTGGATATTTGATTAAAAATTAATAGTACAGGTTCAAGCTCATTAAACTTATTCAACTTATTCCTATGATAATAAAACTTATTCCTATGATAAACTTATTCCTATGATATCTTTGTTTTACAGAGATATTTCTCCTGTAGAGGCAGATACAGACTGCTTACACGACCTAAAACCAAAAATCTCCATGTTCTCTTCTTAAAACATCAGGCAAGAAATCAAACAGAATTATTAGTTCTTTCCAATCACTCATTCAGAGATATGATTTTGCCACAGTAATACAGGAAATGGGAACATGCAAGTGATATATTCCAGGTCTTTAAACCTACTCTTGCTAATGCAATGTATATACAGTACTGACCAATAAAAAATTATTTCAATCATCAGATGCTTTGAAATGTAAGTTCCTTCAGGCAGATTGGCAAAGTCTCTCAGTGGAAATACATTTGTGCCTCTCAAATGAATCACCACATCATACTGATTATTTGATTATAATTTCTACTGTCCATGAGAACCAAGTCTTGCTCCTGCCTTGGACTTTTTTAGACTCTTTCCATAAACAACAAAGAATTTCCACATTCCATGAGAAGATGACAAATGCAGCCTACCTGTGAGATCAGTTCCTTCTGGAAAGATGAGGAGTTGTAGTGGTTCACGAATGTCACAGAAATAATCCAGCATTTTTTCAAAGTGACTCTTGTCATCTTCCCACTTTCTCTGAATGAAAACAAAGGCAGCAACCTGCATTGCCCAGCCTAAAATTTAAAAAAAATACCTTTAGTAACATTTCACTCTTATACTTCCACAAAATATTTTATAAACTGTCTTAGACACCACCTTTTATTTGCTGCCCACCTGTCCTCAACTGATTAAGAGCACTTTTAGTTACCTTGTAAAAAAGAATGCATAAATGTATTTAAAATGCAAAACTCAAGTTACCAGAGGCAGAAAAGTTTTCCAGAGAGCAAGAATAGGGTCCATGCTGTCACAAAAGGAGGTTGTAGTGAGGTGGGGCTCGATCTCTTCTCCCAAGAAACAAGGGCCAGGACACAAGCAAATGGCTTCAAGTTGCACCAGAAGAAGTTTAGATTGGATATTAGGAAAAATTTCCTCACCGAAAAGGTTGTCAATCTACCCTTAAGAACAGGCTACCCAGAGGAGTGTTTGAGTCACCATTCCTGGGGGTATTTAAAAGCCATGTAAATGTGGTGCTTAGGGACATAGTTTAGTGGTGGGCTTGCAGTCCTGGGTTAATGGCTGGATTCAATGATGTTGAAAGTCTTTTCCAGCCTAAACAATTATATGATTCTCTGAGGTGAAGCATTTAAAACCATGGCCCTTACTATAATATCCTTAATTCCTGCAACACTGATCTGCTCAGGTGATGGACATCACTACAGTAATGCACTGCAGGGTAACAGCTGGGTTTTGTAGAGATCACTGCCCGCTAACCATGTGCAGTGTGCAGAAAATATCTGTTGCTTTGGGGGCTTTATTACATCTAACTTCCTATAATTTTCATTAGTCAAAGAAGAAAATACCAAGCTTTTCTTTACAGTCAATTGTAGAAAAAAATTATGTGTATCCATTTATTTGTATTAATACACAAGAAGATTTACAACCTGACATCAAACTGACAATGTAATGCAGTTAAGTAAGTGAAACTGCTGCTGAGCCTGCAGTTCAGGGGTCATACACCATTATCTTCAATAAGTATTCTTGGCTTTTTTTTTGGCACAAGTATATAGCATACAGTATATGACATAGTATTAGAAGTTCTGTCCACTAGTTCAGACAGCAGGACAAAAAATCAGGACTCCAGTCTCACCACATGCCAGAGATGCTCCCTTCCTAAACAGGGCTCAGAAGGGCATGACATTGCCTTACCACTGTACTTGGCTAGCTTGTATCCCATCAGAAAACCTGCAGACAGATCCTCCACGTCAAACAGAAAACATCACAGCTCCCCATTCTCCTCTTTGCTCACCACAGTTCTCAAAGCTTGTTTTTCCTTTGCTGGTGACTTTACAACATGTTATTCTTGCACTTTATTTCAGCTCCTCTTTACAGGGATTCCTTTCTATTCTGTTCATAGCAGTATCTCACAAGAAGCATATGCTAGAAAACCACTTATTAAAGTCACTCATTTTTAAATCAACTTCATAAGTCACTCAGCCTGGATAATGCATTAACCAAGCTGCATAATCTCTCTGTGTTGGTTAGAAACATTAATTGTATTGTTAAAGATTTGTGACCTGTATCATGGAGTAGATACTTTTGATTTTTAAATCAGCTAAACAGATGGAACATGCATAACTAGCATGCCTTCTGCAATCTGGACATAATGCATCTCAGATATCCAGATAATCAATGATATCCAGATAACTGAATACTGGAAGTAGTTATATAAATTAAGAAAAGAAATTCCCAGAATGCAGTCTCAGCAAATCTTTTCAAATTTGCATGCTATACTTGTGAAAAACCCTTTGCAAAGAAAACTAAACTTTGACCACAACATTTTATGTGCATTTATGCACATATCACATTCCCACATCTGCAGTGTCAAGAAGCATCAGTACAGCTTTCTTAACGGAGGTTATGCATGTTTCAACAAATTATTTGAAGGGAAAACAATAAAGATAAGTTTTAAAGTAACTTTAAAATAACATATAATTTAACTATGCTATCTCTGGCATGTAATCATCTCCTAGTGCTATAATACATGACACTAAAATGCTACAAAACCAGTATTTTAAATTGAACTAATCAGGGCTTCATACATACAGATTAGGAAAGTTCTGCTGTGGTTTTGGGGTTTTCCAGTCATTCTTACCTCTCTGCCCAGACCTTTTGTATATTTTATGTAGCTAGGACACTATGCCTAAAGTAGAATATGGAAAATCTTCACTGTGCTAAACCATTTTATTGTGTGGTATCACACGTCAGGCCCAAATTATTCAGTCCTTGCGCTCCCATTGCAACACAGCCTGTAGGTTGAAAGAAGAGAAAAAAGAAGCTGATACTTTCCCAGGCCAGAAGCTCCTTAGGAAGAGTGATTTTGGCCCACAGCAGAGGGAGTATGGAAAAACCTCACTGCCAGATACCATCCTCTCCCCTACCTTTCTTCACACAGCACAAGGCTTTAAATTATATGGAAACTTGCACGTAAAGTCTAGCTATCATTCTTCAACAGCACTGTGAACATCAAATTATAAATACCTTTAGCTACTACAAAATGTGCTGCTTGGGTGACTTGTACTTTACCTGGCTGAACTGCATAAAGCAGAGGATATAGTGCAGTAGTTTCCCATTCCTGCTCTAAGTGGTAGTGTTGTATGTGGACTATGAATAATTAAACAGAGTCAGTAATGTAATGACAGTAGGATGTCAGGGAGGGGGAAGAAAGAAACAGTAGGAAAGGAGTTGGGAGGTATCCAATTTTTAAGATAAACAACAGGTTTGATTTTCTAACCTTTCCAACAGATAACATCCAGTGTTCTGGAAGAATTTGCCTATCTTTAAATATGTATCTAATTAGATAAAACAGTCCAGAGTGTTCAAATAAGAACAGATTATCTAACAGATACATGACTAATAGTAAAGGACCCAGGTTTCCTCCTGACTTACCCCAGCACAGCACACTGCACCAAGCTACTTTACCATCTATGAAAGTGGAAGAAAGAAAGAATCTTCCACATTTGCTCATGCTTTTAGGCTTCCAGTGAAAGGCAACAAAACCATGAAATCCTGGCTTCTACCAAAACCCTGGTCCATGCACCAGTTGGGGAGAGTGCCTGCTGTACATGTGTCTTACCATCCCACCAGATTCAAGCAGGAAAGAAAACCCCACATAGGCTTGCAGACACCTGTTTTTGAACAAAGCAAAAGCAGCTCTTGCTTTGATTTCCATTCCACAGTGTGTCTGCACTGTGCTGCTAGAGAAACATGTAACAAGTCCAAGGCATGACGTGGGAGCCAAATGGGAATGCACAGAGAAACGGGAGGAATTCAGTGAATCAATGGGCAGGATGAAAGGTTTTGCTAATCAGCAAGATTTATAAGCAGCAGAAGGCAGTACCTTCTCACATGCAGCCTGCAGTGAGACATGCTGTTCAGTTAATTACTTTTAAGTTTAGGTCAACACATTGTTCAACAAAAGTAAATATATTTTGCTCTTTTTGCTCAGTATTTTTGGTTGTCTAAGAGCTTCTGGGCAACAGGAATTTTCCTAGGAAAGGCAGAATTTACTTGACTGCAGAAAAATGGTTGCCTTTTGATTTGCAGATTGTTGAGAAATCATTGATTACAAAAACACGGCAGAGAAAGAGTGAAGCTAAAGAAACCATAACAATGCAACTCCTTTTCTTTGCTAAAATAATCTTCTTATAGCAGATGACATTTTGGATAAGTAACATTGCTTGGAAAAGTATATAAACATTGAACAGTTCTTGTTCAAAACTGCAAAACAGCAGTGCAAAAACCTACCAGACAGAATAGCTAGCCACAATGACCTTTAAATCAACTTTTCAGAGCCGAAAAAATAAACAAGGCAGCTTAAAATCTCTAGTAACACACACACGGTAAGGATATGTATTCTATCAGGACATAATTCTACACAGAAAAAAAATGTGCTTACACAAAAAGGAAAGCCTGCTATTGAACTAGAGAAATGTGCTCTACATAAGAATTTCCTTACTGCCTTGGGGATAAAGCAAATTATAGCTTATGCAGGTCAAGAATTTGCAGCATTGTATTAAAAATGCTAGCTCCAAGTCTAAAGCTTTTTAAATTCTAAGACCCTGCACTTCTATTTTCCTCCCCCCAAAATCCTTTAAAAGAAAATAACACTTGAAGCTGAAATTTCTTGAGTGTGTTTTCATTGCAAAGGTAATTTGGAAGTAAGTAGATACCAAGGATGGAGGTGGCAATGAACAAAAGAGAGAAAGAGGTGAGTTGTGCCCCCTCAAAAGGTCTTTGTTTTGTATCACAATTTTATGTGATACATAAACTCGGAAATTAGATATCCCCCCAAAACGTCACATCTCAAAGAGGAATATTACGGCTGATACTGAAAGCAAACATACACATACACATCAAGAAAATGGTATCTATATATTTCCTATAGCAATGTAACAGAACAACTAAACCCTCCCCCAGACAAATTCATTAAATGATTCAAAGCTATAAAAACAAGTAGAAAATAAAAGGCCTAACTATGGGATTTTGTTACTATATTCATTCATCCTCTCTCTTTTCTTTCACTGCATTATTCACTGTTTTTTTTCATATCATTATCTTGGTCAAAAATAAAAGCCTTATTCAGTATGCCTGTATTCAACAGGGGTCTGGTCCTGATCAGGGCTTTTGAGGCATCAGGGAACCAGACATCTAGGCTTAATAAGGGAAATCACTCGGAAGCTCATGATCCCACTGTATACAAATAATTGGGTCCATTAACAGTTTGTTATTCCAAATGTTTTGCTGCATAAAATTACCACAAGGCAACAAGCACGCAATTCTGAATGTTCTCTATTTCAAAGATCTGTAGGTATGGAAAAGTGTTGGCATACAGAAAGTCACGCAGGAAGTCAGGGTGTAAAGTTCCATTGTTGAGCTGTCACCAGTATAGACTGATTAGCACCTTTCTGCAAATTCAGTTAGAGCTGGCCATTTTACTATTATTGTTTCATTTTCCTGGACAGTTTTATGAACCCCAAAGCAAAGTAAAACATTTTTTAAATTCAATGTAATCATC